ATAGAAATGAAAATTTTTAATAGTAAGGGACATTTGAATTATGTCCTTACAAATAATTTAGGGATCCATCTTTACATGTGATATTAATTATGAATTTAGTAAGCAATATCAATATTGTCATACATCAAGTAAAATTATAATTAGTATATCAGCATCATTACCCAATATATTAACATAACTATTAGCTATTGCATAAATTATCAGAATAGTATTAATTTGACAATTAAATTAGTTATTTAAAAAATGGGTTTTGCATAGTATTATTGATTTTAAACTTTGAAATTGTATACAAATATATAACATTGATTAATAAAAGTATCATACTTCCAAGAACAAAGATTATTTTAACAGATGTCCAAAAGTATGAATTTTGTCTATATACTTACTACAATCCAGAAAATCGAATAGAATATATTAACTGAATTGAAAACAAATGGAATATCAAGATTAGTGAATCTATAGTGTTACATAGTGATCTTAGTTGATTAAAATTTTTTCAATCGATTAGTTGTTTTAATTATAATTAATTAGTTGCAACTAAAAATTCCTATATTCTGATTGGTTAATTCTAAACTTTTCAACTAATAATTTGTAATACTAAGTGTCATGTATTCTTCAGCAAAAAGATAAGTGACTTTCAACTAAGGTTAATATATCAAAAGCAAAGAGACATAAATCAGTCATGTTTCCACAACTTGAACAAGCTTTTAAAAAGTTTGTGTTGATATATTAGCATCAAGTGTTATTAAATGATGCTATGTTAATTAAACATGCCAAATCATTAGCAAGTAAATTAGAAATTCCTGAAGATGCATTGAATTTCTCCATTGGTTGGCTTCAGAAATTCAAAAAGCATCACTTTATTTATCAAGTCAAACTGCATGAAGAAGAAGTATCTGTTGATCTGATAGCAGTTTCTGAGACTTTATTACAATTGTACAATCTATGTGGTAACTACTTACCTAAATGAATCTATAATATGGATGAGACAGAACTCTTTTATAGGTAAATAAATATATTTTTGTAAATAGTTTAATGCAAAAATATAATAAATATTATACTAATTTTTATAAACTAGAGCCAGATAGAACATTAGTTACTCAACATCTTGCCGATTGCAAAAAAGATAAGAAACATCTTTTTATTATACTTTGTGCAAACTCTGATGTGTTACACAAATTAGATCCACTAGTTATTGGTAAATATGCAAGACTATGTTGTTTTAAAAACATCAGTCTTCATAATCTGCCAGTAACATATCGAAATAATAATAAGGCTTGGATGTTTACATCTTTGTTTCAAGAGTGGATCTAAAATTTTGATAAACAAATAGTTGATAAGTATGAAGATAATCACATTCTGCTCTTTTTAAATAATTGTTCAAGCCATAGACTAGAGGGTTTGAATATTTAGCATATTGATATATATTTTCTTCCACCTAATATGACTGCTAAGATCCAATCTATGGATAATGAAATTATAATGACTTTCAAAAAACATTATTATTGTTATCAAATTTGATATCGTTCAATATATTCTTGTTAAAAGTTAAGAGTGAGTTTAATATTAATATTATATTTTATTTATAGTTGGATGTTAGAGCAAGTCGAAGCTGGACAAGAAATAAAACAACAAAAAATGAATATTCTTTAAACTATCCAATATATTATTAAAGCATGGAAAGAAATTATACCTGAAACAATTTATCAATGCTGGTGGCATACTAGTATTTTTTCTGAAACTAATAATATCAACTTATAAATTGTTTCCAATAGTATCTATGTGATTAATAATTTGATTCTTGATGAAATCTGCAGAGCACTCAAAAATCTTAATCTTTTAGAGTCAATGGAAATTGAAAAATTTCTTATGGTTTCTAAAGAAAACATTGTTTATAAGATTTCAGATAGTTATAAAGCTTGCTAAGATTTTTAAAAACGAAAATAGTAATGATTTAGAGGTGGATAACAGCACTAAAACAATGGTTTTTAGCATGAGTACTGCATTAAAAAGTCTGGAAACTGTATACACATTCTTATTGCAACAAGAAAATACGAAAGATCAATTGAAGTGTGCAAATATTTTAGAAAGATATATTAGAGAAAAAAAGTTTAATTCAATGCAACAGTCGAACTTAAACCAATATTTCAAATAAATTATAATATACTGAAAATAAGTATAGTGGACAAACCTTAATTTGGCAGTGGTTTGGTTATTTTATACTCTTATGATTTTTTGAAATCTACCAAATAAATCTATTCAAAAAAAAAAACTAGCAAAAGTTCTTCATATAACCCATCTTCTGTTAAAATTAATCCAAAATAATCTCATGATTTAAAAAGTTTTACTAAAGACAAGTTTTATAGGTAACCTATAAGAAATGGAAGGTAGTTCAACTCATGATTCAAGCAAATATTGTGTTGTAAAGATTTGCAAAGACACTTCAATAAAAAAGTGAAAAAAAATAACTGAAAATGTATTGATCAAGGCAGAAGCAAATGGAACTCTAACCTCATACTATAGAGATCTTAAGGATAAATATATATTGTATATATATAATAACAATCACTTAATATATTTTATTTTAGTTTTGGATTTCGATGTTTTGGTTAACAAAAAGTTTGTAATATCTATAGCTAGTAGCAATAAAATTGTAAAATATATTTTTAATGAAAAAGTACTCTTCTAGATTTTGCTAAGAATTCTATTTGTCAAATCATATTAAATCAGAAAATTTTTTATAATTTTAGAATTATTATGCCGAACTGTTAATTAAAAGCATAATTGTGAAATATACTGGAATAATGGATGTAAAGATTCAGTCTGATGGAAAGATTTTTGCTATAGCTGGATGGAATGCAAAGTATGTTGAAACCTGAATCTCATTTTCTTATTTAATTACTGCCAATGCAATGCTATTAACTGCATGAATTTTTTGTGATTTCAAAATTATCATGTCAAACCATTAATTAAGAGTACAACTGTGAAATATATTGGAATAGCAGATGTAAATATTTGGTCTGATAATAAGATTTTTGCTACAGTTGAATAGAATGCAAAGTATGTTGAAACCTGAATTACATCTTCTCATTTAATCACTATCAATGTGATACCATTAACTGCATGAATTTTTTATGATTTCAAAATTATCATGTTAAACCATTAATTAAAAGCACAACTATAAAATATACTGGAATAGCAGATATAAAGATTTGATCTGATGGAAAGATTTTTGCTATAGCTGGATAGGATGTAAAGTATGTTGAAACCTGAATCTCATCTTCTCATTTAATCACTACCATTGTGGCACTATTAACTGTGTGAATTTTTTATAATTTTAGAATTATTATGCCGAACCGTTAATCAAAAGCACAACTGTAAAATATGCTGAAATAGCAAATATAAAGATTCGGTCCAATGGAAAGATTTTTGCTACAGCTGGATAAGATACAAAGTATGTTAAAACCTGAATCTCATTTTTTCATTTAATTACTGCCATTGTGGCACCATTAACTGTGCAAATTTTTAATAATTGAACAATAAGAATTTGCATATTTTCATCAAAGTTTCTAAAACCACTGGCAATACTATAATACCATTGAGAAAGTATCTATGTATTAGTGTTTTTCTTAATTTTGGGTCAAGATGCTATTGAACAATTCGTAATGTTCAAAAATGAATCCAAGAATAAGAATGTTGATAACAGGATTGTGCAAGAACAGTGGCAACAATTTACGAAACATTATTTGATTGAAAGTGATAAAGATTATAGGATTAATTTGTGAAAAATTTATTAATTATTATTTGATGATAATAGCTTATAACAATCTGGCTTTACCTATTGATCATTTCTAAACTAAATATTTGATATATTGATTTTTCTTTTCCTAGTTTCAATAATCTTTTCTTAGCTATTTTTTGTTGTACATATTTATTACCATATGCTCAAATATGCAAATATTCACAATATATAATGCCTATTTTATTACATTTACTACCATAACTTTTCATATTTATTTTTTTTTTTATATCTCGATACTCAGTCTCGATAATATCTGATGGTTTCGACATTTCATATTGCTGAAAGTTTTCAAATCCTCCCAGCGATATATCAAGCCATCTTCTTGTTTATTATAAACCCGATACTTACAATTTATAGATCATGGATGCAAGATCGTCACAATTGGAAAAAGTAACATTAGTTTAGCAACAGTAAAGTTATAACAACCTGTTATACACTTGTAATAATTGAATAGTATGAATTTTCACAATCATATACATAAAAATCTTATATTTTTATTGGATGAATTGATACTGAGTTAGAACTAAAGATTGTTCACTATACTTTGAAAATGCTATCATGTAAATGTATTACCACTCTGTAAGTACACCAGCTTGTATTGTTTTTTAAATGCATAATATTGTACTCTCAGTTCCAAGATATATATTTAGGAAGTGTCGACTATATATATTAAACTAATATATCAAGGCTTTACTAATATTGTTATTATTTAAAAAATTAAAATTAAAATTAAAAAGACCTATAGATAAGGATCCTAACGATTCTGTGTTTGATTTCATTTGATTCCAACTCTTATAGTAAATTTAATAGGTGGGTTATAACCCACTTATATTTTTTATATGTATGCGAATCCATGCGAGTCTATGCGATTCCAATTTTCGGGACTATACCTATAGATCAATAGTACAGTGAATAGTGCTCCCAAGTTTTTAAATGCATATCTCTAGTTCAATATCTATAGGAGGCAAACATATAAAAATTTATTCTTTATTTGAAGATTTATCGATTTTTCTATAAATGTTATATCCAAATATTTGAATTATAATCAAATTTAGTTAGGCTGCATAAAGATAGGATCTCTGGTCTTTTTACTGATTGTGAATTAAAAACAAGTCAAAGTAGGAAAGATTGTATAAGGAAAGATTATATAAGAAAAGACTTCTGATCTAACTTCAATAAAAGTTTATATTTCCTTTAGTATGGCAAACTCTGTCACATAATATGTTGACAAGATATAATTTATCTTTGAAGGGATTATTGATCTGGACACCATGTGGAAATCTCTTCAAAGGATCTTTAATATCTTATTGGTATATAGAAATTATATTTTACTTGACATTTATATCTCTAGATTTGATAACTTATGTCAACTAAAAGTTTTTGAAGTGTTTACTAAGAAATTTAGAAGTCATATCCCATTTGATTATTTGGATCCTTAAATTTAATAGCAGTAATCAACTAATGAATTTACTTTTAAAGCTTTTACTAAAGTGTATATCCATATTAATATCTTTGCTTCTCCTAATATATGAGCTATAAGATATAATATGAAAAAAATATTATCGATTACTAGTATATAATATAATAAAATTCTTTAAGATATCTCTTAACAAATTTGAATTAACAGATCAGGTGATTTAAACTAGTGGCAGGATTTTTACTTTCTGACTTAATCCTATCTGATATATGGATCTACTGTTTAAGTATAAGTCTATATAGTTGAATTAAATAAGTAGAAGATATAGATTAACTTAGATAGATCCTTGATACATATATAATTGGATATAAATTACTTAATAAAAAATATAATATATTTAGTACCTTTCATCTTAAAAAAAAAATAATAATAAATAAAAAATAAAATTAATTATGTTTTTTTTCTAATCTAATCAGTTTTTTAATAGTTACTATTATATAATAGTATTTTTTTATTATTATTAATTTCTTTTATAAATTTAAAAATGCTATAGATTAATTAATTAATTAATTAATTAATTTTTTCTTTTATCAATAGTTCTACTTTTTTTCAATATTGAAACTATTTATATTTTTATATTTAGATTTATAGAACTCTTCAATCATTTTATTTGTGACTATTTTAAATATGTTTTTTATTTTTGTTCTATTTAAATATTCAACTAACTTTATTAAATTCTTGTTATGAATTTCTTTAACTATATGTTTTAGGCTTTTTTTTGATTTATTAATAATAAGTTTTAATTAATTATATCAATTATATTTCTTTTTTTTTTTTTCTATTCTTAATATTTTTTTTCAAAACATTAATATATTTTGTTCTAATTCAATTGCTATAGTATTTAATAAAAATATGCTCTATATTTTTCTATTGATTGTATTAGAAACAATTGTTATTCTTATACAAGTTTGACATTCTTATACTTAATTTGTTTTTTGTTAATAATTTGTTATTTTAAGTTTATATTTAAATACTTTATTATTATAATCTTGTTAATTAATATTAAAACTAATAATTTTGAATAGTTATAAGCTAGCTTATACTTTTTTTTATCTATTTTTTTTTATCTTTTAATTTGAGCCATGCTTTATATCTTCTTTATATAACTTATACATTTATTTATTTGTTGTTTTGTTATTGTTTCATGAATCTATTAATCTTTATATTTAAGTTATTCTTGTATTATTTAAGCTTATATCTTATACTTATTATCTGTTAACTATTAATTTCAATAATTTATTTGTATCGTAACTCTCTTTTGACTTTTGTTAATTTATTTGCTTTCTTATTATTTCTATTTTTTATATATAATTTGCTTTTTTTGAGATTAATTAGTATCTTCCTAGCTTGAATTTTATCTATTATCAATATTATTATTATAAGATTGATACTTTTAACAATCATTTTCTTTTGAATAATTTTGAATTCAATTATATAAATTGTATTTTGACTATCAATATATATTATTGCTTTTGTTTTTGAATTAAGAAATATTAATATCATAAGAATTACTATTAGCTCTATTTTTGTAAAGAATATAAATTCTTTATATCTGTTTTTGAATTCTGTTTGCTTTTGTATTTTTAAATTAATGATTATTTTTTTTTTCTAATTAAACTGCTAGTAATATATTTATTAATTCATTTGAAAAACAATAATATATTAAAAATAAACTATTTTCTTATAGCAAAATACTTGTCAAAAAGTTATTTTTAAATTTGTATATAATCCTTAAATTTTAATATCAAAACTATTATATTGCTCACATTATCTAGCTATTTATTAACTATTTTATTACAAAGGAATATATTTATTAAGCTATTACTATATAATATTAACTATTTTAGACTTTTTAAATTCTAACTCTTTAGATATAATTATAGGAAATAATAAAGTTGTTCCTTTTCAAAATTAAATCTTAAATCTTAACTTTGAAAAATCATAGTCAACCTATATTCAGACTATTATCTCAACACAATTTTGTAGTCCTAAAAAATAAAAATTTTTATTTTTTAAGAAGTAAAAAGAAAAATAAAGAGGAAGAAAGGTTTGTACTAGTAAATAAAAATCCTTTCAAATTAATTACCAGTCTAATAAAAATTTTGAAGAAAAAAAAAACTGGCACAAAAGAAAAAAGAAAAGACTTTAAATTATTTCTAATAAGAGAATATCTTGATATTTTATTCTTTTACCATATCCAGTTACATTAATAGTTTTAGTATAGTACAATATAAAATATGTAAGAAGTATATGTTTTGTTTATATTTATTTTACATATCGATTAATCAATCCAAAATTTTAGCCAATCATTAATCAGAATTTCCAGTATAACTAAAAATTTAAGATTAACTGAAATAAACAAAATTTCTTCAAAAAATAAAAAGTTTTCTAATATACTTGAAAGTACTAATACAAATATGTATAATTGATAAAAAAAAATCATACAATTAAGTCAATAAACTTACTAGCTTATTCATTTATCTCAACCTAAGATGTTTAGTTATAATAAATTCAAGGTTTTTATAGAGCTTAGGAAATATATTTATTAGTAGTTTATTTTCTGAAGTTTCAAACTTAAAGAGAATATAGTAGAAAGTATTTTTAATAAGTTTTTCTTTTTCAATAAAGTGTTTTTATCATAAACCAAATGGATAAAGTTTTGTTTATTTTGTTATTAAAATATATAAAGTTTTTGAAAAAGAAAATATAAATAAGTGAAAAAGATATTAATTTTTAGGAAATAAGATATTAAAGAAAGTATATAGACTTTATTATTAAAAATAAAAAATATTTTTGAAAACATCTGTTTTTTTTAAGTTGGCAAAGAATCAGCAAAAAAGATTTCTTTTAGATTAATGATTATCTTATTTATTTCTATTTTGATATATATGTTTTTGTATTTTTTCAATAATCTATCAATATATATATCTACTACTTTTAAAAAAACTCTTTTCACTGATCCCTTTGCTAACTCAAAAAACAGATGTTCTCAAAAATATTTTTTTATTTTTGATAATAAAGTCTATATACTTTCTTTAAAAACATTATCTCCTGAAGGCTAGTGCCTCTCCCACTTGTCTACTTTTCCTTCTTCTAAAAACTTTGAATATTTCAATAACAAAATAAACAAAATTGTATCCATCTGATTTATGGCAAGAACATCTTACTAGAAAGAAGAAACCTATCAAAAAAACACTCTTCATTATATTCTTTCTAGGTCTGGAACTTTAGAAAGTGAACCACTAGTAAATGCATTTTCCAAGCTCCATAAGAACCTTGGATTCACTATAAGTTTACAACCTTCGGTCTAAGGAAAGTGGATAAGCTAGTTGGGCCTATCAAGCAAATGCATTTCCCAAGCATCATAAGAACCTTGGGTCCACCATAAGTTGAAATCCTGTGATCCAGGCAGGTGAATAAGCTAATAAAAATCTATCTATACATGTGTATGATCTTTCTTCACCAGTTATATATATGACGATAGTATTTTCAAGCGTGGCAAATTTTTTTGGGTTTTTTCTAAGGAATTTTGCCTATTTCAGTTTGATCCTGAATTTTTTGTTACACTGAAATCTCTAATTGGTGATTGGCCGAAATTTTGGAACTGGTTGATCAACACGTAAAAGAAAAGTAAACAAGATATATACTCTTACGTGTTCCATGTCGTACCATACTATAACTGATGATATAATTGGATAATAGTGAAAGAGCAAGATGTCGAGGTGTCCTCTTGATAAGAAAGTGGCTTGAAGTCTTCCCTCTCCCCTCTTGGGTTGGTTTCTTTTCTCTTCAAGACCAAAGAAGGCTCTCATTAGACTGGTGATTGGTTTAGATAGGTTTTTATTTACCAGCACAAACTTTTTCTTTCCCTTTATCTCCCCTTTATTTCTTAAAAAAATAAAAATTTTTTTTCTTTTAGGACAACAAGGTTGTACTGGAGTGACAGTCTGAGTGTAAGCTGGCGTTGATCTCTTGGAGTAAAGATTATAGGTATTTAACTTCAGGAAGAAGCAATTTTATCATTCCCTACAATCATATCTAGAGAGTTAGGATTTGGAAAGTCTAAGATAGTTAGTATCATGCAGTAATAGCTTAATGAACTTACTCCCTTGTAATGAAATAGTTAGTAAATAGCTAGATCATGTGGGCAACACGGTGATCTTAGTATTAAGGATTCAAGGATCATATACAAATCTAAAACTTGTTAATGGATATTCTGCTATAATAGATAGTTTAGCTATGTACAATGCCATATATGATATTATTGTTTTTCAAAATGAATTAATAAATATATATGCTAATTGCAGTTTGATTAGAGGAAAAAATAATAATAATAATAATAATAATACTGTTTTACAATTATTTAATAATTAATAATTTATATATAGAAAATTATTTTCTTTCAATTATAAAATAATTTAAAAATTATATAAGTTTTAAATAATATTAAATTTATATATAATTCTGTTTTTACAAAATATAAATCTAATATTTTATCAATCACCTTTATTTGTGGATTTATCAGATTGTTACAAATGTCATTTCCAGACATCCAGATCACAATCAAATCCAGTTAGGCTGCATAAAAATGGAACCTCTGGTCTTTTTAACAATTACAAGCTGAAAACAGATTGAAGTAGAAAAGGTTACATAAGAAAAGACTTCTGATTTAACTTCAATAAAAGCCCAAAAAATCATTTCTTCTGGTATGGCAAACTCCATAGCACAAAAAATACTCTAGCCTAGGGCTATTCCAATCCAGTACTTGCTTAAAAAAAAAGGACCCCTCAAGAAAATCTAAAGTTGCAGGTGGTAACAAGGAGTACAAGTACCTTCTCTAAAGAACTAGGTGAAAAGTATTCGGGTTATTCAGATGTTCTAATCAATCCTGCAAGGTATAGGATGATTGATAGTGAGCAGCCATAAGGTTGCCAAATCAGAACTTAGCAGAAAGATTGGGTTTAAAACTGGTAGCAGGATTTCCTACCTCCTGAATTTGTCCTACCTAGTGTATGGGTTCTATTTCTATAGTGGTAAGTTTGTATAGCTGGATTAAAAACAGGTAGAATGGATGTGTTAACTTAAATAGATCTTTAATATAATGTAATTGAATATAAATAACTCAATAAAAATCAATATGTCTAGTACCTTTTACCTTAAAAAAAAAAAATCCAATATTTTATCTTTAATTGCTAGTTTATATAGTAGATTCAAATTAAAAAAAATATTGATTAAATTTTAATAATAAACAATTTTCTACTGCTTTTAAAAAATCCAATAATTAATTATTTAATTTATTAAATATCAAAAATATATTTCATCTTTTAAATCTAAAATTAATAAAAAAAACTTTTGAATTTATTTTAAGTTTTTGTTACAAAATTTTTGCTTATTGATATCTATATATTTTTTATTAAACTTTTATATCCTTTAGAAAATCTTGTTATCAATTATAATTCTTCAATAATTTATTATTAAAAAAAATTTAAAAAAGTAATTTATTCTAAATTAAATAATTAATATTCAAATTTAAAATTAAGTTTAAGTAAATTTTATAAAATTTGTTTTTAAAATTTTAAATTAGTGCAAAAAAAAAACAGATACTGTATATATTCAATTTGTGTTGAAAGACAAAAGTTAGAAATAAAATTATAAATTAATTCAAATAATAGAAAAAATAATTTTATTATTAATTAATTATAAACTGAAATTAATTTTTATAAATAATATCTTTATTTTAAAACTTAAAAATAGAAACTTTATAAAAATTCTTTTGAATTAATAACAATTAAATCTTGTATTATTATTATAAATTTAAAAAAAAACTTTAAATTTAATGTTAATCCAATAAAAACAAGAAAAAATTTTTATGAAAAAACAATTTTATTTTTTGGAATTGTTATTATTTATAAAAATAAAAATAATATAATTCAAATATATTGTAATATTTTAATTATTTTTTAAATTATGTTTCTTATTTGTAACTGATTACAGTTAAACCTGATTATAACGAAGCTTGATTATAACAAAAATCTGTTTATAATGAAGATTTTCTCTTAAGCCAATCATTTTTGAGTATTTGATTGGCCATAATGAATTTCAATAAGAAATCTGGTTATAATGTTTATAATGAAAATTTGTTAGAACAATATAATATATTACTAATTAATTTATAACAAAGATTTTCATTATAAACAGACTGAGATTTGCTATAAAAATTGTATCATCATAAATTCGTTACAAATAGATAAATATTCATTATAAATATTAATGTAACTAAAATCTATAATATTATATTATCTTTAAAAAAATAATGGAAGATCTTTCTTGCCTCTTCGATTTTTAAGATAATGTTAGAAAATTTAAATACAAAAAAGTGAAATTTAAAATATAATGCATTAACAGGAGAACAAAAAAAAAAGTTATGTCTAAAAAAACAAATGAATCCAAAAATTACTGGTATTGAATTAGCTCGTGAATTTAATATAGGTGAAGAAACTATAAGTGGTATTTTATATAAAAAAGATAAGTGGTTAAATATTGATTCAGATATATCTAAATTAAGTTTGAAAAAACAATGACCTTCTGCATGGCCTCAACTTGAAGAATCCTTATCAATATGGATGGACCAAGCTATTCGCTATAATCATATTCTTTTTGAATATATTATAAAAGAAAAAGCCAAACGATTTGTAGAATTATTACAAATAAATAATTTTATTGCATCTTTTGAATGGTTTGATAAATTTAAAAAAAGATACAATGTCAAAGAATACTTGAAAGCAGGTGAAGATAATAGCACACCTCTCAAAAATCTTCTTGAGTTTAGAAATCAACTACAAGATATCATTAAAAATTATAAGTTAAGGAACATATTTAACTGTGATGAGACGGCACTTTTCTGGCTTTTAGAACCAAACAAGATATTATCCAAAGGAGTGATTGTTGGAACAAAAAAATCAAAAGAATATGTAATAGTATTGCTTACTTGTAGTGCATTGGGTGAAAAATTAAACCAACTTTTATTTATCGCTACAAAAATCCATAAGCATTAAAGAATATTCAAAAATCAACTCTTCCGGTCTTTTATTACTGGAACAATAAAGCATAGATGCAATATTCCATTTGGTCCACCTTTATAAAACAATTAAATCAAATTATAAAAAATCAAAATCAACATATATTGTTACTTATTGATAATGTTCTGTGTCATCAAATTAATGAAGAACTCTGTCTTATGAATATTACTATCCACTCTCTACCAGAAAATACTACAGCTCATCTTCAATCATGTGATGCTGGAATCATTTATAGTTTCAAGATACAATAATATATACTTTATGCTTAGCATTAAACTTAAATTTTATTAATTTATTAATATATTTTCAGGCTAAATATAGACAATTACTTTGTGAAAATCGTATTCAAGAATTTGATAAAGAAATGGAAACTGGAATATTGCCTTCAAAACTTTCTATACTGGATGCGATTCAGATGACGGCTACTGCTTGGGATAAGGTCACAACAAATACTATAAAAAATTGCTGGATTAAAACTGGAATTCTTTCATTATTATATGATAACACCGAGATTATTTTGGCAGAATTAGAGGAAAGTATTCAACGTGATAATCATCAAGTACAACATTCCATCAACAAATTATTAGGAAATGATAATAATGTTTCGGTCAATGATTTTTTATCTATTGATGATAAATTATTGTCAATTGAAGACTATAAAGAAAGTACTGAGCAGGAAATTATTGATTGCGTTCTTGGAAAAAATATAGAAATAGAAGCGGATGAAAATACTTCTGAAGAAATTATTGAGATAACCAACAAGGAAGCGATTGAATGTCTTGAGAAGTTGCAAAAATATCTTAATCAAGAAAATAGTATGTCAGTTTCGTTCGAATGGATCTGTCAGTTTAATAATATTAAAAATAATATTCTCAATCATATTATGTCTAAAAAAGTATAGACGCATTTGGAGCAGTACTTTGATTTTAATCTTAATAATTAAAAACAAATATATAATATTTTTCAATTGTCCCTCTAAACATCAGATATGAATTTATATAATAAGATAATTTAGCATTAATAAAAACTATTGATTTTTAGTAATCTGGATATAATAAACTTAATTATACAACAATTTAAAAAAAAAACTTAAACTTAAAAAACTTTTTTTTTATTTAAAAATTTAAAAAATACATACAAAATAAAGTTTAAAAATCAATTCATTAAATGGTCTTCGGAATATTAACCCCCTAAAAAAAAAAAATCAAAAAAAATAAAATAATGAATAATGAATGTATAAATGACACTGCATGCCAAAGAAACCATATGTCTTAAAAAAAGACCCCAAACCAAAAAGATATTTACCTCTTAGCAAGACAATGGCTGGGATGCCATATGATCGTAAGAAGATTACTGCACCCTAGTGCAAAAAAGAAGAAATGGCGAAATAACATTTGCTGTTAAAAAAATTTTTTAAATAAAAAAAAAAAAAAAGAAAAAAAATATCCAGACCACAAATTTATCCTGTACATTATGATTGCTAGTGCCATCTTCATTCCGATACACCTGTCTGATCTCCTTAATCTAATTTAACAAAATTCAAAGTACAATCATGCATTTAAAAGAAAAACCAGTCATTAATACATTTTAGTTACCTGAGATTTTAGACAATCGTAAACACTTATGTGGTGATTTTGAATCCCAAGGAGCTACCTAATGACGTGATGTTACTCAAAAACCCAGCGTTCATGAACATGGTTCAATATATCAAAGGATCCTCCGCTTTTCGTTGAAGTCTTGTAAAGACCAAAGTGAAATCTGCTAGCATGACATTTTTTTTTTACAGGCAAATAAAAGTTGAGTTGAGGCCATGGTCGTGGTTCTTGCACACACTTGGTGTCAAAAAGCCGCAGACATGGGTCATGCTAGTGCAACATATAATGTTGGTGTTTGTTATAAATAAGGAATCAGGGTTGAGAAGAACGATAAAAAGGCATTCAAATATTACCTGAAAGCCTCAAATTTGGATCCAAGGTTACATTGTCCATCGGAATTTCTACCTTCAGCAGATTTCATATACCACTGAAATGCTTTCTCATAGTCTTTAGTAGTTCCGACTCCATTACGATAGCAATTTCCAAGATTAGATTATAGTATAAGGAACATAATTAGCTCTGGTTGGTGATTATCGTATCCAAATTGTACCATCTCTAATTGAAGCACGGTGAATCCTAAAGACTTTACTTTTATTGTTCCTTCTTATCCAATTCATCAATCAATCAGGATCAGACCAATGATTGAGCGTCGACGGTATATTACATGGTTACTTAACGAGCAATAGAGGACCACATTTTTAACAAATGGAATATGATTTTTTTTTTTTGATTATGCTATTGCAACAGATTGTGTTGCTAATTTGAAATATTCGAAAAAAAAAAAAGTAAAATATATCTGGAACAAGTCGTTGGTCCCGAGGGTCATGCCGGGGTGCTGACAATCGTGAAAGAGAAGTCACGATGCCAAAAGAAGCTTTAGATAAGTACCTAGAGAAAGAAGGACCGTCTGAGAGGAGAATGGCGAAAAACCAGAGGCAAAATAACAAAACTTACCTACGAGATTCCAGAAGTCAGAGCATGAGCCAGAGACGTTGATATCGCCGAGGGTCAAGAAGAACCCATGGATGGCGAATCGGATGTCGAAAGCATGGGGCTAAGGAAAAAAAAGATGGTAAGAAGAATTAGAAGCCATGGTAGAATACCAAAAAGAAAGAAAACGTTGCAACTTACCAGAATTGCACTAAGACGAGAGAATACGAATGCCAAAATGCTGTCATAATTGTGATCACAATCATGATCACGATCGTGAAAAAAAAAAAAAGTAAAAAATGCTAAGTTCAATAAACGGACTTTCGAAGAAAGGAATGGAGCTACGGAAACAGAAAAGAAAGGCAAAAGCGTACGTATTGATGGAGCTACTACTGCTCTGGTGTGAGATCGCCCCCCCAAAAAAAAAAAAACTTATCTTATGAAGTTTGATAATGCATGCCTAGAATAGTAAGAGACATTTTGATCGATACCATTATTACTTAATTTATCACGTGATATGATCTTGGTTATAAGGAATTTCTGGTTATAAGAAATATTTTCTCTGGTCCCGTCAAATTCATTATAACCAGGTTTGACTGTAGTTGATATGTTTATTTCAGTTTTGAAATATATTTTATTTGCAGAAATAATTTTATTATTTTATAAATATAATATAGTTTGTTATTGAGTATTTTTTTTAGAAAATAATATTATAAGAATAAGTTTGTAACAAAAATAAAATAATTAAATAATTTTAAGTACCTATATATATTGTTTAAAATATATTGTTTATATATTTAAAATTTTATATAAATTGCTTTTGTTTTGAAAAAGTTATATGTATTTATATTATATAAATAATATTTCAAAATTTTTTGTATTATACTATATAAATATAACTATTTTGATATCTTTTTTTCATATTAACATTGCTTACCATATATTAAGTTAACTTGTTTACTATATATTAAGTCAATTTTTTTTTTTTTTTAGGTAAAGAGCACTAGCAGCACATGATCTTTATTGAGTGATTTATATCTAATTATATGACTACAAGATCCATTTAAGTTAACCTGTACTCCCACCTATAGCCTTACCCAGTTATACCGATTTACTACTGTGGGGATGGGTCCGTACACCGGATGGGATCTTTAGGGAATAGAAATACTATCACTAGTTTATAAACTATCTAACCTAATCTAGATTCTGGTGGTAGTCGTTTAGAGCGTATACCTTTCAGGATTGATTAGAATATCCAGATAACCCGTTTAATATTTTTCACCTGGTTCCTTGGAGAAGGTACTGTACTCCTTGTCACCACCTGCGGTTTCCAACTTTCCTTGTTGGGATCATCTTCTTTTAAGCAAGTACCGGATTGGGATAGCCCCAGGCTAGGGTGTTCTTTGTGCTACAGAGTCTGCTATGCTAGGGAGGTTTGTGGGCTTTTATCGGAGTTAAACCAGAAGCCTTTCCTCGTGCAACTTTCCATGCTTCAACCTGTTTTTAGCTTGCGATCATTGGGAAGACCAGAGGTCCCATCTTCATGCAGCCTAACTAAATTTGATCAGGATCCGGATGTTTGGAGTATAACATTTGTAAGAAAACCGATAAACCTACAAATGAAGAAATATTATACATTTTTGCTCCCTGTGGGTATTGAACTAGGAACATGTATTTGGAGACCAGGGAGCACTACTCACTGTGCTATTGACCCACTGGTCTATATTAAGTCAATTTTAAAAATAAGCATATTAAATTCCAATTATAACTTTGAAACAAATTTGTATAATTAATTATATATCTTTGTATATTTAAATAACTTATATCTTTCTAATTTATATTAGATACTACTTAAAAATTTGTAAAATTTTAAAAAGAGTTTGCTATAAACTTGAGTAATTAATAATAAATGTTTAAATAAATAAATCAACTTTTTAAGTTTTATTTTATTATTTTTTTTTGTTTAACCCATTGCCGTCAGCGCAGGTACCTCTGATCACCTTGCTTGTCTCCCGGTGTTTCTCCGGGGT